ATATATATATATATATGGATATAATTTGAACAGCATAGATGTATGCTACACACGGACCAATCAAGTATCGACTTCCTACTTTGTAAGAGGAAAACAGCACTGAATCATACTGATTCGGACCGAAAATGTTTCTTGGACGTATCGATGAGTACTCTTTCTGGTGCCTTTCGGGATGGGGACCTCGTGATCCTCACTACGTCTGATCAGAGACGCTCCAAGATATGGCTGCTAATCGATGTCAATGGCGTTCTTGTTGAGAGTTTCTATTTGGATTGCCTGAATGAGCATCTGGAGATGTAGACACCCTAGAATGATTGCACTAAGCTAGCACTAAGTCCCTTCCCCGTCTATTTTTATTCTTTAGTTCACAATAAGACTTTCAAATAAATCATTTCGGTACCTGAGTGCCATGCCATCCGAAGGAAGCACGACGGCTGAGACACTACCAGGTTGCAGGGGAAGTCAAAAAGCAGTGGACGGGTTCGAACCACGGTTAGTAAATTCGCGTTTTGACCACTGGTCCATCTCGCCTCATCAATGTTGAACACTTTCGATGATGGTGGGTCTTTTTGGTTCCATCCTGCAGACGCCACGGACACCAGGAGTGAGATCACATACACTCAGCATCTGGCTATTGCAAGAACCGTTTCCACTTGGCGACTATACAGACGAATTAATTACTCAACAGAGCGGATAAACGGATCGTCAGCGTTGGCGATGGAGATTGAAAGCAAGGTGTTTGGAACAGTGTATTCCGCAACTGTACAGAATCGGGAGAAGATCTGGCCCATACAGTGTTCCTTAGCAGGATACTGGACTATTACGATACTACACAAACCAGTAAAACTGGCAAATACCGCAAGCGTCTAGGTTTTCCGCTACGATCACAGTATCTTCTCTTAGTCGACTGATCAACTTTTTTCCGAGACAACTCATTCAAGTCACAACACGTAGAACGAAGCTCAAACAGCAGATCTCTCAGTTTATCTCAAAGGATTTGTGTGCCTTCAAAGAGTCCAACCACACTTGGTGATCCGCCTGTTTGTCTCAGTGCCATCTGCGGCATTTTTTACGGCATAAAGGATGCTTTTCCGTACGCAAGTTTTTGCAAAGGAATTCAATCAAACGTTAATCTTGACATATCCACTAACCTGCTGCTCGCGGCTGAGAAAACTAAGCACGTCAACTGAAAAGATGAAAGCTTTTATTGATTGTCACCAGTGAGGACGATGTGCACCTATCGATCGGCACGTTCACAAGCTGACTGTGCAGATATCGGTGGTAGAGAAGCCGTTTGTAGTGCGTATGCCATTAGTTGATGAATCGATGGAATTAGAAATCGCGGAGAGGTGAGCCAAAATGTCTCATCCTCCTCGTGTCGCACAGTGAAAGTGGAAAAAAGTGGATCAGTTTACGCAAATCCGTTGCTAGTAGAGAAATGGAATAACTGAAGCAAAGAGACTGACGGTTGCCTATCGTGAAAACACGAGTACCGTTTCACAGGACGCTGCACTTCGACCAACGCACCGCTATGACACCCTCTTCGGTCGGTGTGGCCAAGTTCCAGGTGTGGATCCCATCGGGCTCATTCTATCTGTCTAGCTCAGTTATGTGGATTGTCTGTCAAAAAAGACACCTCTCGACGCGACCGTGGGATTCTCAGCTATTGGAGAAAAAAACGGGATCCTGGAATTTTTAAAAGTCATTTTTGAAAAAGTCAGTTTTCTGGAGGTTTGAAGAGGAGTAATGGGTTCCAGAGGCTACAGACGAGATGTGTATGTCGCTTATGCTATGAACAAGGACAGAGTGATGAGCAAACGTTTACTTGTAAAAAAGGGCAACCACGAAACCTATTCATCAGTAACTTGTTTACCGAGCTGGGCAGTTGTTAACAAGCTCGGCCGAAAGATCAACAATCGGTATTCTGACGAAGTAGCGACCAAAAAACTTGCCTCATTGACGGCAGGAATTCCTTATCCGCAAAATCAAATTGATCCACGTAAGCGTACATCACATGAAGATTGTAGGGGTCATTTTCGCCGAGGAAATCACCAATCCGAGCCTTGACAAGACGTTCTTCTGTCTTCAAGAACTCTGCCACCGATTCCACGGTATCGCTGATCAGACCGTGTTGTTGCAGCAGCTTTAGCCCTCGAATCATTCGTCCCTGATTGAACAACTGAATTCCAGTCTCATAAATCTCTTTCTGAGCTTTTCGGGATTCAAAGTCTTCCGGGTCATCAATTGCCTTCTGGTGTCCGACTGTGCCTGGGGTGAATACACAAGGAGATACAAATTAATGGATGAGGTAGTCGACGCGCAGAACATTCGTCGATCACGTGGATAAGCTTGAAAAACGGAGTTCGACTAAACGCTTGTCCTAACCCCTGTGGGCGGCCAGCCCAAACTGGTTCAACTCAGATCGCATATGTTGCTTCGTGACGTTCCAAAGATTCTGACCCTGTGACAGGTCAGATAGACAGCGAGAAAAACTACACCTTCACTCGACATCGCGGTCAACAGCCGATCACCAGACCTGTCAGCTGACCGATTGGCGCTGTGCACATCAGTCTGAACAGTACACAGCCTCAACTCCTCATATGAACGGTTTCGGGTTCAAGGTGTCTCAAACAATCGAGACATGTGCATATGAATGAAACGGCAATCCGGGAATTTAATTGAGGATGGTGGATTCACATGGCACGTTGCATATCCAAAAGGTCTGAGACGCTTGGATGTGAAGAGTGTGGGAAGGAGTCCACTGAGGTAACCATATATTGCCATTTGATCAACACACCGTACCGAAATATATGTTGGTAGGACGTGAGGACGACGAATTCTAGAGAGAAGGGGCTGAGTAGGATACTTCAGTAACGTCCGACTCTTGACCCAAATGATTGCATGGAGATTTTTAAAGGGTTATTCTGAAATTCCCAAAAGATGCAGACCAACGTTCCGAAACTTTTAGCAATTTGGTCACGTAATAGACCTCTCTTTGCCAATCTAGTGGGTTCTCGTGATCTGATCGCCCTTGGCTATAGTCATCAGTTCAAAATATCATTTTCTGTCAGGCAGTCGCTAGCCATTACAGCCGATCATGAGACCACAAGTCCAGCTGTTGAAAGATGATGTTACCTGTGATCTATACTACCTAGTACTGAGGGACATCAACGATCCTATGCACGGACAAAAACGATTGTAGGTTAATAACTAAAGGTCTTCAAGAGAGATTTAAGTTCCACAGTTAACCGCACCCATGTGATAGAGCTGAAGGCAACTCAGTAGTTATGGTGCGAGGTCCACGAAGATAGAGCTGAAGGCAACTCAGTAGTTATGCTGCGAGGTCGAACCCCGGCTTTTCGATCGCTCCGGTCCAAACTTGAGCAACTTGGACGTATCCCGAGCTTCGAGGCGCACGGCAGCAATGCAATCGCCGCTGAACGATTTTGGTAGCCAAACGAAAAGGTCGACGGAGCTTCAAGCTGTGGGATCGGGTAGTATAGCCTGATCTCCGGAAAATCCGAACAGGTTATCAGTAAAGTAGTGACCATAGAGAAAGGTTCGCGTCGTGAAGACTTTCAGTGAGAGGTGTTGGCCGGTGATAAGGTGAGAAACACGGAGTTGGCAAATCAGTGATCAAGTACTAGGTGGTGCGGATTTGATTCAAAGAAGGGGGCTGCCTTTTAGATTGTCTCATCTGCCATCTCCAACCACCACTTACCCGTAGCAGTAATCAGGTTTGAGGGTCTGAAGATTCACGGTCTTCAGAGAAGAAACCTTGTTCCCTCTTTATATGATTGAACTGCTCGACAGTTTTGTCTGCGCAGTCAGAAAACAACAAGGGCTAATGTGGTCAAGCATATAGCGTACAAGCGAACTAAACTGTTAAGTGAAGTCCACCCATCCACATAAACTAGATCGACTGTCACATGACCGTCACAAACACTTCCGGACACAAAATGCTGGCCGGTAGCAAGCGATCGATGAAACATCCATAAGTTTCATTGTTAGTTACTAAATGGTTCAGCTGTAACACCCTTCCGGTGCCTAGCTGCCACCCGGAGGAAGCACACGGGCTCAGATACTGCCAGGTTGCCCAAGCCTAGACAAGGAAAGTCGAAAGGTAGGGGTCGGGTTCGAACCACGAACCTTCCAGTCAACAAATCCGCGCTCTAACCATTGCGCCATCTCGCCCCAGTTACTGAATACGTCGTAGTGTAAACAAAAATGCTGAGTTGATATCAATTAAGTGGTCGGTTTCAAAGAAGCACCCCGGTACTAAACTCCCTGTAAATGACACAATTGAAACGATGCGACAATGAGGCAAATAGAATGGGATATTCTGTGCTAACTGGTGTCTTTAGTTGAGTTACACGGTACGTTTTATGCGAAAAGGAAACAATTTTCCTTTCATCGTTTCCATGACGATGTCATCGTGGAATGGCGGCAGAGAAGGTAGCACCGAGTTCCTTCTCCGGAGATTCAGGTTGACATCAATTCCTAGTGAAGTCTGTGGACTGCATACTCCGTCGGCTTGGTGGGGACTGTTGTGTCCTGCTTAAAGCAGCATAGCTACACAGTAAAAGTGGGCATTCAAAACTGTGAGGGGGGCGAGTGGGCTCACCACCCACATTCGCATTCTCACTCATATGTGAAGTTAAAACTTGAATGCATTGAGTGAAAAAAATCGTTCAGCTGTAGCACCCTTCCATTGCTTAACTGCCATGCCACCCGAAGGTTGCACGAGGACTGGGATATTGCCAGGTTGCCCAAGCCTAGACAGGGGAAGTCGAGAGGCAGAGGTCGGGTTCGAACCACGGACCTTCGGGTCAGTAGATTCGCGCTCTAACCACTTGGTCCGTCTTGCCTCCCCCCCTCACATCCAGTGACGTTCATCCGGAACAACCAGCAGACATGTATGAAGGAGATGTATGTGTAGCAATGTCGCAACCGACACATTTGCACATAATAGAGTTTCCAGCTCGTGGTTCATATCTTCCATCTAGCTGTGTTGAGGAAAAACAATGATCAACTAGACAAAGCAACCTGGCACGGTGTGGAGCAGAGTACTGCTGGTCGAAATGTGGTGCAGAACGCGCCTCCATCTCGCGTGCACCGGTTGGCTAGTGGTAACACATTCACCTCGCCTTCAAGGATATGCACTACTCATAAGGTCGGATAAGAGTAAACTTCGAGGCGAGTGATTGCCCTCACCAGAATACTTGAGTCAGGATAGGAGGGTGACTGTTCAGCTGAACCCAGCTGCCATGCCACTCGGGGGAAGCACGAGGGCTAGGATACTGCCAGGTTGCCCAAGCCTAGACAGGGGAGGTTGAGGCAGAGATCGGGTTCGAACCACGGACCTTCCAATCGATAAATTCACGCTCTAACCACTTGGGCCATCTCGCCCCCCACTGATGTGGATACGAATTCTACACCTATCTAACAATTAAACCGATCCAGTTTTACACTTCTTCAACAAATCAATGCATAAAGTATACTGAGACACGTAGTAGTCGCGGAAAGGAAGAGTAATATCCGTTGTGTTCCGTGGGGTGCTCAAGCATCCATCTTGTACGGTTGAAATCGGAACAACTATGTCCTTATGACAAGATGCCTGTTGTTCGAAGAGCAATCAGAGAACCGTCCTTTGAAGGAATGAGCACTGCATCAATTTGATGGAGACCTAAGTTGACTGACTACAGACTTTGAAACACAGCATCCCTCTTGACAGTGCGTGAGTAGATCCAGTCGTCGATTAACCTGTTCGTCGAATCTGGCAAGTGGATAGCATACGTTTCGTTGGAGTAACCATGTGACTGTACACGACAATTATCCCTCTTTAACATGATCAAACCCGTTTGTTTTTGTCGAGTTTCTACTATAGGGAGTACTATACCATGCATAACTCACAGCCTCAATGTATGTATCACGGTTACACTATGTGTATACGGACAGAATCGGTGGTCAACTTTGAAAGGCACCACCCGACTGTGGTGAGTCAACCAGCCAACAAGATTCCCGAGGAGCAGACGTTCGCCCGACCTCCCAGTAGGTGACAGCTGCATGGACACTGTGTTGGGGAAAATGCACCGAGTGCGTTACTTCCGCTCCCCGATATTTTGTGAGACATCCCCATCCGGATCGCGACTACCCCCCCCCTACCGCTTATTTCATATCAGAGTAGTGAAGCCGGTATTATGTGGCTTCCTTCTGGCGGCATGGCAGTTAGTCACTGAAAGGATGCTACAGCTGAACGATATATATATATATATATATATAATGTATAGTATTGAGATAACCGACACTACACCAGACCAATTTTGGACTCTTTCTACACAGCAACAACCCCGCTACAATGGAAAACTAAATCATCATGCGTCTGCGAACGTTTGTGAGGAAATCAACTAGAGAAAAGCGTACAAATCAAACTTCTCTCTCACCCGAATTGGTTTATCTGGGGTGAATGGGAGTAAATTTATCTGTTAGCCGACGAAAAAAGTGCTCACCTGTGGTCCGACCGTTCGGCATTCCGTTGGGCATCGATACTTCTGAAGCGTCGGTCATGGTAACGGACGGCTCTGCGCCCAGAAATGATTGAGATTCCGGACTAGTGTACAAGTCCTGCGACCAGTCAACCATACACCGAAGAATTAGGACCAAGCACTCTAGACCGCTGGTACGAATAGCCTGGCGTTGAGCCACCGAACTCCCATGTTCCCCGGCATATCGACCTTGGGCTATTTTTGCCAGACTTGTGGTTAGTCGTTCAAAAATATTGGCCATACTCATATCACAATCGTAGTTCAGGTAGATGTCGACCACACACTGAGCATCGGCACAGATACGCCGCAAAGCTTCGATAACCAGCCATTTGTGCTCGAAACTAGACTTGGGAGATTCCAAAATCTCAAGGAACACGTCTTTTAAAAACACCTCGATTTGACGCTTCAAATGTGGTTTAAAATGAGTCAACAACGCCAGAAAAATGGTCACTGAAAGCTCGCATACTTCCGGCACGGGAGAGACACCATTCTTTATAAGTGCCACACACAAATATTGTTTGATTGCAGTGATAAATATTTCGCTGCTGAGAAACAAGGGTCCCGGTTGCTGGAATACACTCAGTAGGAGTTGTAAGGAAAGTGTTTTGGATCGGATCGCATTAGATCTGGCATCCGACGACCTAGTCCCCCCAAAGTCCTTGGTAGCCAGGCGACAGAGGCTACGAAAGACGAGGAAAGCGTCTTTCTGTGTTACATGGGCCAATGCAACAGCTTCGGGGTGAGCTCCGTTAATCGACTCGGCCTTGACAGCATCTTCATCAGCCAGGACACCATTGGGTAAAGGACTTGCTGGTTTGGACCTGGCAGCTTCATCACCAGTAGGAGTGGCGGGGGGAGTTGGCTGCTCAGCATTCGCCAGTTGGGTCATTTCCCCATCATTAGAGCCAAGTATGGGTTGCTCGATGATTTCGTCCAAGATGCTGCGCACTATGGCATCTGCGCTTTCACCGTCTTCCAGAGAGAGATCAGTTTCGCTTTCGACGCTTAGTGTGCTGTCCACATCTTGATCCGTTCTCTGAAAACAGTGAGAATTGCGAGTTTTATTGGAACACGTTTAACAAAATAAATCAATACAAGGTGACGAAATTCTCAAGTGGCATGAAGTTATGTAATTTAGGTAGAATTGAAATTAGATTGTGAACTTAAACTCGGCGTGGAAGAGGACCGGCAACTGACGCTGTTCAGCCGGATGCGTAGCGCAAAATTGTCTCGAGGTTCCAACCAAAACTCAAACGGGAGCCGGGAGCACTTTGTCTTCAATGCGGCTACTGCGATTCGTACCACCAGTTGCCAAAAACCTATGGGTTTTGTGTTATTCGCCGGAGGGGTCCGTTCAATTCAACCTTCCCGGCGTGAAGTGGATACGTCAGCCTACTTGAAAAGACCACTTAAAGAAATAAGCTACCGGCTGACAACTTGTCGTTTTGTAAATACATCAATACGACAGTTGTCAGACAGAGACTGTTGTGTCTTGCTAAACGGTAGTGCAACTTTGCATCGGTCCCTTGGCTTTCTGCTCTGCCCACTATGATATATCAAAGGGCACGGTAGCTCTACACAACCCTTTATGGAGACAACGGAAAATTATTACAACGGTATTTATAAGGTAGTCACGGAGTGTTCCACAAGGTCGTGCCAGAATGTCCGTGAGGGGACGAGAAGCGTCGAGTCCAAGATGCTCGACTAGGATTGGCTGTCATTCTGACCAATCGGGGCCTGCCTTCGTCTGGTCCGTGTCCTGCAGGTGACACATCCGTCCAAATGATGTGATGTTCGGTTATTAGAGACGGCTGGCCTCCGTACATAAACGTTAAACGCTTCCAGAAGATGTATACTTGAGTTGGCTGTGAACTAAAAACCATCTGTCTACCAATTGTACAGTTTTACAGGGACAACAATTTTATCCACCGCATATGCATATATATGCATCTGAAGTTTGCTCGTGACCGGAAATTTGCTTTTCAATTTCATGTGACCAATTAAACTTGGATGCGTTTCTAACCAGTTTCCAAGAGTTTTGCTGTGTTGATTTTCGACGGATTGTTATGTTTCAACCGGTTTGATCTATGGGTGTTTCAAGTTGGCGAAGAAAAACTTCAAATGTTCAAACAACTGTGTTGTTAGCATGCGAGACGCCAGCGTTTGGAACCACCCATGCGTTTGACACAAGATTCGTCATTACAGCATGCAGCAGGATCCGTGCTGACAACCACTGACGCACAGCTCCGTTCCGCTTCACCATACGGATCATGCAATCTTGATCGATGACGAAACGTGTCAGACAAAACCACCAAGATCTGCAGAAAATTCGACCACAAAGTGTTGACACCACTGCTTCGTTCCTGTCTGCAAGTGTAGTTACTCTTAACTGAAAAGCTGAGGCATCATCACCATCACCATCGTTGTCAGCTGTAATAACCGCGTACTCGTCGTACAGTGGTTGTAGCTGCCGCAGTTTCGTTCACCGATGATTTGGGGGGAGGGGTAGGTAGTTGCGCATTGCAGGCGGGAGATGATAAATTGATGCATAAATACAGCATTGTCAGTGGGCTGTCAAGTAGGGGGGGTAGAAAAGGAGCTTTGTATTGAAGACAATAGCTTGGATGCACGAGCGCCATTGAGGGTGTGACTGGGCCATATCTGACAATGTCTCTAACCATTGATGTGGACCGTCTCGGGGTCCCCATCCAGGAAGACGGCAGTGACCAGCGCAGCTGAGTTTGCTGGTAATGGCTTTCATACTTCGCTGCCAAGTCATCGTTTGACCGCCTCTGGCTCTCTTCCACCCCTCACGTGGTTGTGCGAAAAGAGCCCTTCGAGGAAGTCGGTCGACTGGCATACGCAGCACGTGGCCAAGCCAACGCAACCTGTGCAGTGTCATCGGTTCATCTATTGAGGGCGAGTTATTTCCCCCGAAACCACATGAAGGGTGGAAGACAGCCAGAGGCGGCCAAACAATGACTTGGCAGCGAAGTATCAAAGTCATTACCAGCAAACTCAGCTGCGCTGGTCATTACCGTCTTCCTGGATGGGGACTTCGAGACGGGCCACATCAGTGGCTAGAGACATTATCAGACATGGCCCTGTCGCACCCTTAATGGCGCCCATGCATCCAAGCTATTGCCTTCACTGCATAGCTCCCTTCCCAATCCCACCTGCAGTGCTGTAGTTACGCACTAATTTATTAGCTCCCGCCTACAATGCGCAGCTACCTACCTCACCTCCCCAAATCATCGGTGAACGAAACTGTGGCAGCTACAATCACTGTACGACAAGTACGCGGTTTTTACAGCTGAAAACGATGATGATGATGATGACACTCTCTCATGACGTTTGCTCCTATGCTCCTTGTTTTTTCTGATGATTGTAACATCACCTGGGCCAACGACGGAGCTCTCCTGCAAACCTTCTGGAGGTGTAGGTCAATCGTTCAGCTCCTGTCCGTGGACAGTTTTTTCGTGAGACGATCCTTCGAATTCTCATTGTGAGTGGCCTGAAACCCGACAGGACAAGCCACATAGTCGATCTCAATGGCGAGCTTGCTGTCATTCCTTAGCATATCTATCGTTGTGCGTAAGCGACATTGGTGAAAGACACTGGGTCAGTCATGATGATGGCATCTTGATTCAACAACATGCTCAGATGCGTTTACCTCTGTGGTTTTTAAAAGATGTAGACACCTTGCCTTTGGACGGCCTCCCTATGGACATGAGTCCTCACCCACACGTTCCTTTTCAGGCTTCTTCCATGTTTGTGCGGCGTGGTTGCGGCACCATTTTCCACTGCTGGTGTGTTGCTGTCCTTGTTGATGAACACTCCAGTCCCGGATGAGAAGGAAGGATGTTACTTAAGTTGGTTCGATTCAGCTTATCTCGGGATTTCGTGATCAGAGCGCGATAGACCGGGAAGTCTGCGGTTCGAACCCGACCTCCGCCTCTCGACTCCTCCTGTCTAGGCTTGGGCGACCTGGCTGTATCCCAGCCCTTGTGCTTCCCTCTGGTGGCACGGCAGTTAGGCACCAAAAGGGTGCAACAGCTGAGCGGGATTCCTCAAATCAAGCAAACAATTGTAACCAGAACGGTTCAGTCACGTGTATTTCCGTGCGACTGGAAAGAAGAGAATAGCTTACAAGCGACTGTTAATGCTGCATCGCTCCTCTTCGACACGCGCTGAATTCGACGTCGCCCATAACTTCTATACGGCTGCGATCGGTGGCGGCGAAGAGATGTTCCGATCGAGATTTTATGATGCATCGTCCGTCTATTCTGAAAAACCGAGAGGTACCGTACAGCTGTTTCATCCTCATTGGGAATCACCGGCAGTGCACATCTCTCGAATCTCCATGGTGATTCGAAATCGAGACTTCCTGGCTAGCAGCTTGAACGATTCGCCGTTTGGAGATGAGCGGATGATCAACAGTGTAACTAACTCGTATTCGGACAAGATATGGCGCCACTTATCCTCCTATCAAAGAACTCACATCAGGCGATCACGTGCTCACTGGCTCCACGAGTAAGGCCTTCTCAGATGAAAGCTTCACACGTCGTGTGGATCATTCTTCCCTCCGAGCTCGAAAGCCGTATCACTACCACGGAACGCGTCCGTTCAAGCTGACCTCTTCCACTTGGTGGCCTCAGTTTTCTAACTGTGAAACCCATCTCTATAGAGCTTCGAGACCCCGGTGGCTCATTCCTTGTTCCGCAGGGCAGGCGGTCACTGGAACATCCTCCTGTCTTCTGCACTCCTTGCAACCTGTAGCCCCTAAAACAACTCTACACACCAACAGGACGTTTGTTCACGTTCAACACTCAGAAGTGAGAAAGTACTCTCTTGTAGCACCCTCTGAAAAGAATCAGCGCTCTTACGCACAAGAAACAAGTCACCTGACATGCTGTGGCGAAAGTACGCGACTAGGCGGATTGGTAGCACTACCTATGCCATGCGGTTTCCGCACGTGAACAACCTTTTTTTACCTTGTCATCTGAGGAGTGGTCCATAAAGATGAGTAAAAATATTGCCATGTCTAAATAGGTATGGTTTGGTTGCTGGTTTTGAAATTTGTTTGACTAAGTAGTTCCACAGCCTGAGCAAGAACAAACAAAGTGTGTTAGAATGAGGGAAAAACAAGATGATGTGACTGTTGATGGATTATATGCTTTGGAGATAGCGTAGGTCGCTTCCAAGTAGTGTAGCTTTTGAGAAGACTCAACCAAAAACAACTAACCGGTTTAACTTCGGAGTTTTGATCCACGACGGGTGATATTTCTTTGACAGTTTCTTCCATGCTGGTAGTCCCCTGATCGGAATCGGTCGGCAGTTGATCATCGTGATCATTGACAACTGGACCATCCGTACCGGACAAAGCCACGACAGCATCGAATGCGTTCTGCTCCATCCGCGAGAATATGATGCTGATAATCTGCGTCAAGGTAGCTCGGGCAGTGGCTTGGTTAACTGGATTTTTGGTCGCCATGAAAATGTTGTAACAGGTACGGACAACCAGAAGCACGTCCGCCTCGTGAATTTCCACCACAGAACTGGTGATCACGGTCAGAAGAGCTTTGAGCACTTGTAGCTGGATTCCATCATCTGTATGTACGCCCTGGTGTGACGTGACAAAACGTATGGTGGGTGGGAAAATTAGGACAAATCAAGACAAGATAGTTTGATTCATGGAAGCCAGAAAACAGAGTAAAACGCGAAAAGAAACTAACGAGTCGACCATTGCCTGCGCAAAGTACACCGCCACCAAGTGAAAAATACAAGAGTTACGGTTTTACGGGTATAAGCAGTTGACTAGCGGAGATGGTCTGCAAACAGCTGGTATTACGTCCACGAAATGAGTCTAATTGAATTGCAAGCTGGATTAAACCAATACATGGAAAGTCACTTCTCCCCGAAGAGCGTGCTCCCTCGAAACGCGTCAAGATGACGCCCCTCTTGAAGTTGTTTTCTACTGAGGGTTGTAAGCCTTCAGCTGTACTTGAGTGACAGTTCTGCGCACGGCTGGAATACGCATCAACTGATACGAACAGAAACGCGCTTTTCAAGGCAATCTTAGGTAGGTAGTTCCGATTAGGATGACGCCTCACGACCGTCTGAGGAACATGATACATCTAACACAGTTTGATTCAAGTTTCTGAGATCACGAACTGCACGTGAAGTACGGTTTTCCATATACAAAATCATTTCGATAACACTGTTGCGCTCATGTGCACGTGTAAGCGTCTCTCAACTTCAGTTCCATGGTCTGTGAGATTCTTGTGCCCAGGAGTCGGACTGCTGGACCCTCACGCTAAACGGTATCCTCGTATTGACACAATGGCATTATTGTTGTAACAGCTGATCAGCCAAGGTCACAGCTTTGAGAATGAGTGATGTATGTACAAAAGATTTGTTTCGACTTGAGTGATTAGGTCTCTTAGAAGCACCTCTGTTGGAAAGCAGTCTATGCATCATCATGTGGACAAAGTAGGGACCAAAGCATTCCATGCCGTGTCTTGGATGGCCATACTGTATCCAAAGCAGTGGTAATCCACTAGAACCGGCTCCCACTTTGCGCAGTCAAACCACTGAACTAGGATTGCATCACACTATCCACTACATTCGGGAATTCATAAGTTTAACATTTCGAATGTTTTGGTATCTGTAAAACCTGTTATTTACTCTCTCCCTCTCGATTTGTTTACTGAACAACAACAGCAAAGCACGTGCTTTCCATGGCTCTGTGCGTGGAGATATAAGAATAAGTGAACAACTGGGTGTAATCGAGGGCCAGTAACAAAAGCAGTTAGGGCGACTTTCGGAAGCACAGGTGAAAATTTCATTCGTTCTCCGGAGGAATGTCGCTGTATTGTGGACGACCTTCTCAGCTCGAGATAATTCAATGGATAAGGTGCGTACTTACTGGCCGAAAGGTTCGCGGTTAGCACCCAAACTCCGCATATCAAGTGCTCCTACCTAGGCTTTATCAACCTGACAGTATCCCAGCCCTCGCACTTCCTCGGGTGACATGGCAATTAGGCATCGAAAGGATGTTACAGCTGAATGATTTGTTTCTAAAGGTCTTATTCGTTCGTTCCTTCAGTTGTAGCACCCTTTCGGTGCCCAACCTCCATGCCAGCCGAAGGAAGCACAAGAGCTGAGATACTGTCAGGGCTGCCCAAGCCTAGACAGGGGAATGCAAGAGGCACAGGTCGGGTTCGAACCACGGACCTTCCTGTCAAAAATTCGGGCTATAAACACTGAGCCATCTTGCCCTTAAGGTCTTAAAGAGACCGAAACGGTTGCAGTCGTATGAAAATCGACAACAGTGGCTGATTAGTGGTCAACCCTACAACAGGTGTCTGTGTGTCTGGTCTGTATGGCTTTGCTATGCCAAAACAGAAGAACATCAGCTTTCGCCGTTAACTGAATGGTTCTGCAACACAATGATTGGGCACTTGGTAAAATGAAAAAAATAACCAGGGTGGTCGCTAATCTTTTGATACATGCAAGCAAACACAAGAATCCAACCAATACACTGGGACACTGATCAATACATCGATATAAACTACATCTATTCGATTACATGCTTCCAGGAAGACATGGTGCTGGAACCGATACTTCGTCTACCAACCATCCGCCTAATCCGACCCAATTATTGATGAAAATAAGCACCCAACTGTGCCTATCAGCCATGCCACCCGAAGGATGGCTAAGGCTGGGATACTACCAGGTTTCCCAAGTCCGGACAGGAGCAGTTGAGTTGCCGGGGTCGGGTCTGGAAAACAGACCTTTGGGTCAGTAAGTCCGTACCTTTAACTGAACTATCTCACGCTCAAATTTATGGAGTGGAAATGATGTAACCACAACAGGAGCAAACAGGGAGATGAATAATAAAATACTAACCTGAAAGCATGAGCAAATGGTGGTGACGATTTGTTCAATAATCCGCACTTTCCCCGTCGATCCCATCGCTTCGTTGGGCACGTGACCATAGGCAATCAGTTTTTGTAAAGAATCTATGGCTGTGGTTACTATTTTGGCAGACTTTAAAGAACAGGCCAACTGGAACGGGCGCAAAAGCTTCTCATCTGACAAAAGCATGCCGGTCTCAGAACGCAGTGGTGGGAGATGATCGCTGATGTGGTCAGTAGGAGGGGTTTGGTTCGCCTCGCTGTTTGACTTGACGTGGTCCTCATGCTGCTGTCGCAGCAGTTGCAATGCCTCCTCGCATGCCTTACGGAGTGCAGTGTTTTGTGACTTTTTCGTTTCTCGTTCGGCGGCAATCCGTTCGATGGCTTTCACAAGAAACATGTTCAAGGCATGAAATGAAATACCAAGTTGTGGCTGACGTGCAGGATCAATGTGGTGAGGATCTGTGCCGTGGGGTGACTTGTGTGAGCTGATGGATGGCGAAAGAGGAGAGGTCGGTTTTGTTGTGGTTCTCGGGATTTCCGTAGTGTTTTGAGTGGGCGAAGCCGGTCGGACTTTCAGATCAGAGACGTTTGGCATAGCGATTTGTCACAAGCGCGTGGAGAGCGTTCTAATTGAATTCGCATTGACGAGAGTAATAAATTAAACACTGGTGCACAGCATAAGATCAGGTTGGATCGAAAACTGTGGTTCGGTGAACGGGCGGCACTAAATTCAGTTTTTGAGAGTCGAACGAAGAGGCGTTCGGTTGGTCTTATTCACACCTGGAAAGAGAGCAAACGTAGGCAAACGGTAGTAATTGGGCAAGAAAAGGGACAATATGCTTAGCTGAGCACACTGGCCCGCTCCAAACTGGTTAATTGTGAGCAACCGCTTTCGGTTGACCACCCGCAATCCACGGAAGTCCATTTAGCAGTCTAACGGTGCCTCACTTCAGCTTTATGTTACGTGTACGTGTCGTAATCTAGCCTCTTAAAACCACTGGCCGCCAAATAATTCGGGGTGGAATGACATCACAAAGTTACTGCCGACCGTACGCTAACCGCATGAAGAATTCCTCTTAGTTCCATTAAAGTAGAGCGCTGTCACCATTATCGTCATTATCACTGACTGCGCTGTCACCATTATCGTCATTATCACTGACAACACCAGGAGGGACGTAAAACAGTCCTAAACAGCATTGAACGATGGCTTTTTTGGGGGAGACATTGTAAAGATAAGAATGAAAAGAAAGAGTAGTGGATCTCTTTATAACCAAAAGTAGGGAGGCAATGAGAGAGGCTGGAGAGAAGAAAACACTATTGATATTGACGGCAACAGGTCGCACTGTTTAAGGTGGCTTGAGAAAACTCAATCGTGTGATCGACAAAGAAAGTGACAAAAATGGACTGCAAAGGAGTCCTCACTCGAACCGACGAAACCCAATAGTAAAACAAGAACCCAATTCAAAGTAGATCCCAAAACGCTTCATGGCCCTGGTTGGAGTGAGGATGACAGATATTCGATGTCCCCTCCATGCACTCAGGAGAGAATTAGCTGTAGGCAGTCCACGATAGATGTGCAAAAAGCCTTTATAAGAGATCAAATTTAGGCGGGACATCCTTCAACACTAGAAACTGCCACACATTCTGGTGAACAACGGAGTCAAAGGCCGACTTCAGACCGAGAAAAACTATCAATGCTGGTCGTCGGAGGGAGTGGCGCGGTGCAACACCTGTCGCAAGGTGAAGACACGATCGATGCGAACCCAGCCACGGCGAAATCCAGCTTGATTCTCACGAAACTGACTCTCCCATTGACGGATCAACCTACGCAGGACAACACCAGAGAACAATTTAAAATCTATAGCCACTAGACTGACTTTCGCACAATTCAGTTACGGCAGTAAAGCATCGGTGTTGAACACTGATGTCATGCTGTCAGTGATGGTGATGATTCGCACAATTCTCTTGCACCCTTTTTGAATATGAGAATCAACGTCGAGGTGCGCCATTCCGTTGGAATTTTTTTCTTTTTCCGTGAGGCAGTCATGTTCATCATAATCATTTTCAGCTGTGAGGACCGCGCACTTATCGTACAGTGGTCATATCCGCCACAGTTTCATTCACCGATAATTTGAGGATGTGGGGTATGTAGCTGTGCATTGGAGGCTAAAGCTGATAAATTGGTGCGTAAATACAGGATTATCAGCGGACCTATAAGTAGGGGGGCTGGAAAGGGAGCTATGCACTGAAGGCAACAGTTCGGATGCAGAAGCGCCATTGATGGCGCAAATGGGCTATATCTGTCCTAACCATTGATGTGTCCCGTCTCGGGGTCCCCCTCTATCATCATCATCGTCATCTTCAAAGACAGCAACATCAGTGCTGACACTGATGCTTCACTGCCGTAATGACGAGATTAGCTTTAAGAACAACCAATTAATTTGCATCTCTTCGGAACTCCAATATGAATACAGAAAGTCGATGGGTCCCCCCAGGCCCGAACTGAGGACCTTCTGTGCGTCAGACAAGAGGACGGCAATGCCCAGGGCAGATAAGCTTGGTGGTTTGCTGCTTTCACATTTCGCTGCCGAGTAATTAATTGACCTCCGCTAGCTTGTGTCTACCCTTAGCGTGGTTCTAAAAAGAACCCTTCGATGAAGTCCGTCGACTGGCGCATGCAGCACGTGGCCAAGCCAACGCAATCTATGGAGTGTGATCAGTTCATCTATCGTGGGTGAGTTATTTCCTCCGGAAGCCATTCGGCGCGCTTCAGCATTACCGATTCGGTGTTCCCACTAGACTCGGGCAATGTTCCGAAGACATCAATCGTCAGACACTGAAAGCCTTCAGGCATGTTCCGAAGACATCAATCGTCAAACAATGAAAGCCTTCAGGCGTCATCGGTGCGCAGCCGCCAGGTTTGTAAAACGTATAATAATATGGACTGCATTGCAACATTGGCGGATAAGCTGTCACGTGGTTAATGGAAGGTGGCACTGTTCCGGAATCTGTCAAAAAGTGAAATTATGATTGATACATCCTCTCGTAGGACGTAAACCAGATTGATTTTCGCGGATCTGTCTCCCCCCGTGTTCACTCAACCTTCGATGCCACAGTTACCAGGTGATTTCACCAAAGCGCTTTCATCCAGAATCCGCATAACCGTTTTGAAGGTAGGAATAACTGTAGATATGCCCCATCAGATAAGGTACCAAGGATTCTCCGACTTCTTTGAACAAGGTTGGATACAGACCGTATGGTCCCGGTGTCTTCTCACATTTCGGTACGGATATTGCGTACCTTGTTTCTTCTTCCCACGGACCATTAAGGTTTACATTAAGGACCATAAGGACCATAAGGACCACATAAGGGCCATTAAGGTTTACATTCCATTCACCCGTATGCACTATATCCACATGATGTCGTGCAGGAGGCCAGCTGAACCGTTCTTCGAAATGTTCGGTTCTTCATTCCAGTCGATGTTCTGCGAGTGAATTAATGGACCGCCTTTTCGCTTATCGCTTCACTGACCACCGGTTTTCTAGGGCCAGTCGATCTTATCAGTTGAGCACAGCTGTTTCCGGTAGCAAAAGCCTCCTCCATCTTCCGAGACTAGGATGTCCACAAGAGCTCTCAGTATTCCCTTAGGCTCTTCACTATTTGGCGTTTGAGGGATTTGTGTGCGCCGTCGTACTCGTTATGGTATGGATGGCATGGATTTCCTGACATCAATCATGGATAGCGATCTCGATGACATCCAAGGCCGTCAAGTTAGTCACGACTAACTGGCCACCTTTGAAGAGTGTGGAATGCAAGCCACCTGGTCCGGCTGGCTTGTTGAGCTGAAGCGATGAGATTGCGCGCTGGATTTCCGTCGTCCACAGCGGACGGGTTCGGTTATTCCTTCCAGAGGGGGAGTTGACAGCGCCAAGATGAACTATTCTTCAAAGTTTTTATTCCACTTTTCAAAACTACATTCCTGCGAATGGACTGGAGTGGCACCCTTTTTGTAGGTCACTTCACTTACACCCCTCTCTTCGGGCCTGTTAGCCGGATGAGCTGAAACAGAGTGCGACTGTTTTTTTGCGATCTGTCAAAACTTATGCTTTTCGTTATTCGATGCTTTGGGGATCTGCGCGCGTCATCAAAGACGTTTGTTGCCGGTAGAATCCTGGCTTCAATCAGAGCTGCTGATCGTGACGAGATCTAGTGTTCGTTGGGGGAGTGCGAGCGGCTTCGGGTACAGGTTTTAAGCCTGTGAGCATGGTTGCATCCAACTTTCTCCAATCACCATTCAAACCACCAGCGTCTCCACCGAGTTCTGAGAGCACCTCAGCCAACTCAACTTGATACGGCTGAGCTACGGGGACACTGCGGTTGAACTGTACCAACCGACGTGTTCCAGAGTGAAAGCGGATAGGTATGTGTGCCCGCACAATGACATGATCAAAGTCAAGTGGAGTACTCCAAAATTAACGACAAAGCTCTCCACCGGTAGCTGATTGTCACATGGTCAAATATGGCCTGCAAGTCACACGGTGTGAGCTCTTTAGGAGAAGGCTTGAGCTGGTCAGAAACAGGAAGTCATCCCCGATTATCCGTGCGGTGAGCCTCAACCCTGAATCGGCACTTCCTCAGGACTTATTCGGCCGAAATGGCCACTCATACCGCCTCCCAAAATCATGTCTGTACTCCTTGCTGACCTCAGCAAATGAGAAAAAGTTTGATAGGTGCCTTTTCCACCCTTAGAGATGCCATCCATCAGGAAGTACACCGGCTCAACAAACAAGCGCGGCTTACCACGTCGATATACAATGATCTTGATTGGATCGGTCAGCAGAACAGTTTACTGGAATCCAGTTAAGTAAGACGTATTCAGCTCCCCAGATAAGTAAGATAGCCATGCCGCAGATACCACGAGTGGTTGCATCAGGACTACCAGACATCCGAAGAGTAAAGTGGGAGGAATCTGGGTTCGTCCTGAGCAGTTTGAGACGTATGACCAAACTGGGGTCTTGTATGAGTGGTTCGGAGACACAACCTACACTGATGGAGAGAACAAGGACTCACCACGAGCTATCTGTTGTCCAATTCGACACAGAGTACGGAAGTTGAAAGCAAAAATGTTGAACAGATCCCCTGAAGTTGATAAGAGCTTATTTTGATTTATTTTTTTATTGGACAGAGACTTACACGCGAAGCAACGGTTATTCGATTGACAGTAGAATGAGTCACAAAGGCGCGAGTGAAATGTGGGAAGGAGCCAGTGGAAGAAGGGCGAATGATAATCTCAGGTTGGCGAGCCCCAATAAGGGAGTCTGGATGAGGCAATATGGCTAAGTGGTTAGAGCGCGAATTTACTGACAGGAAGACACGTGGTACTAATCCGACCCCTGCATCTCACCTGCACTTGTCTAGGCTTGGGCAACTTGGCAGTGTCCCAGACCCTGCACTTCCTCCGGGTGGCATTGCAGCGAGACATCAAAAGTGTCACAGATAGAGATTTTCGGTATTTGGCTGTAGAGGGCCAACCTGGCCGAGGACGCGGAAAGTATGCCATAATTGTCTGACTCCTGACAGAACACAGCAGGTGTCTTTTAAGCAGCACCAAAATCTTTGGTCTTAAAAGCATTTCGAGAGGGCGAGGTTGCTCAGCGGATAAAGCGCGACAGTTGACGTAGAACTCTGGACGGTTAACGCGGAACTTCACAGGGCCTCGGAGGTCTGTGATTGAATATGTTTTCTCAAGCGCCGCCGAGATTATCGTCCGGACAA